TGATGGGCACCCACATTCACCACCTTCAATCATACATCGCCATGAGGATATGCGAAGATGTTTTTTTTTTGCCAGATCACGCCAGTGGCCTTGGGATAGCTCTGCATCATCTGCACAATACATTTTTTTTTCCTGTTGGTCATTTTCCAAACTGATGTGCGGTTCACGCTATTCCACTACCGTTTCCCCGCGTGCTCCAATACATCTGCGTCCTCGGTACCAGTATACTGCCCATCACTCGTCCACTAAGCAGCAGCTATCTACTGCTCCGAAACCTGCAGCCACCCCACCCTCCTCGCTCTGGTCGCCCTTTGTGCGGAGAAGATAACCGGCTCCAAAGTTCTCTAGTATCTCGCCCTTGTTGTCGCCTCCATTGCCATCTCTCCAAAGACACGCGCCGTAAACGCCCAGCTCGCAAATAACACCGCCCCTCTGTAGCTCTCCGTTTCGCAGAATGGCATTTTCCAGCGGAGGCGGCTCAATCATTTCCATCAAAATGTACGCTGGCCAATGGCTCTCGGGGAGATTTGCCAAGAACGGCGGGATGGCTTTCCGGTAAACGTTATTCCCGCCTCCCTCCCGTTGGGGCTTCAACACATACTTGACGGCCGTCGACGCGTCTGTAGCAAGTTTCCGTGCTTCATTACCAGCCTCGCTGTTGTCTAGTGGATAGATGGGCGCAAACGTCTCTAGCACGCGCGCAGCGACCTGAGCATCGGGAAGGAAGCGCTTGAGATGTTGCGAGTGTGGTGTTGCGAGCACCTGCTGCACTTTTTTGCACCCAGCAAGGTGGGTCAAGATGCTGGGACATTTGATTGCACGGCTCTTTTCAAGATGAAGGCGCGCTACCCAGTCCTCATCTTTTGGGTAATCATCTGGCGAATACCCTGCTCGGAAGTAGACAGTCGTCACTTCGTACGATGTCGCTGGTGAATTTGGTGGCGTATAGACTAATGTGCGATCCGAGTCAAGCTTCGTATGAGTCAAGGTTTGGCTAAACGGCAAGCGAAATGATCGGACGCCGTTTTCTTCTAGCAAAGCATATTCGAGATGCCTCTGGTCAAAGACGTTTCTTTCAGGGTCCTGCACAGCGAACAAAACACAGAGAGGTCGGCCAGTGCGCGATGCTCCATATGCCTTGTGCGCCGCAGCGAGACCTTTTGCTAGCGAAGAGGCAGATTTGCTCAGTTGTAGAGCCTCCTTTTTGATGGTTGAGAGTGCCGATTTCGGGTAAGCATCAATAGTGAGTAGATACTTGTGCAACGCCGACACCTGGCTCGAGAGACCACCAAATGATGATGCGATGGTGTTAAACTCTACCTGCTTCAATCCTGGCGGAGATTTAGGTTGTGACAAATCTTGGTGTACCATGTAATCTGAGCGGAAAAGCCCCAACGAGAGGTCTTGTACGTATCCTTCCTTTTTGACCTCGAGATGGGTATGCCATAGCTTTGCAACAAAGTCGTCTACATCCAAAAGCTGCTCCACAATGCTCTTCAACCATGGTTCGTCCCTTGCGATTGCCGAGTACAACTCGTTGTACGCCTTTTGTATGGCGAGACCCTGCTCGAAACAAGAGCGTGGGAAGAGGCTGGGGAACAAGGTGACCGGAGCTGTGCTTGCCAATACACCTGCCGGGTCCTGCGAAGGATTGACGAACGAGGGCGCGGGACGCACCGCTAGACCATGCGCTATAGACCAGTCCTTGAGATTCTCCAGCAGGTACTGCTCCTCCTCCTGAGATAGCTTTGGCGGGTACTCTGCACTCGCTATAGAGGCCATGGCTGCTGGTACGATTGGATTGTTGTGGAAAGAGGTTGGATGAATTGCTGGAGAAAAGTACCTCTTTGGAAACTTACAAATGCAGTCGGCGCTAAAAGCGATGGTCTCATCTGCCCCGCTACTTACGGTCGCGAACCGACTCACTTTTGCTTACATCACTCGATCGGTGACCGACGCCTTGTTCTAGCAATGTTTATGTGTGGTACTGGGCGTTTAATTCTCTTGCCCTTTGAGTATTCCTTCCCTGTGTTCTCATTGCGCCGCTTGCAATGTATGCACTTACCCCTCCTCGCGCTGTCACATGACCGCGTGTGCCCGGGTCCGTGGCGAGCAAACGGCGCGGTTCACAGCATTGGGCACACGCCACGCTAGTACCCTCATGTCTTTTGCCTCAGTCTCAGCAGTACCTCGACGCCTATACGTGTTCTCAAGCAATCAACATGTCCACCAATGATCCCTGGCTATGGAGTGTAGATGAACTAGTTGCCAGCCTATGTCACTCACCCACACTATTCATTAATGCAGGGCATTCAGTCGATAACATTCCGGATAGCTCGACTCTTGAGATAGGGTTGCGAGCGCAGAACATGACAGGAAAGACGCTACTTACTTCTTTTGCAATGCATGAAGTAGTAATTACAAACAAATTGAACATATCTCGTATAAGTCAGCGGTTTGCTCTACACGCAGTGATAGAACTGCTTCGACGAGATTCACGTGGCTACCATATCCAGCACGCGACCAATACGAGTGAAGTTCCGCTCAATAACAACGCCCCAAATACTTCGCCAATTGCACAAATCATTCGAAGCCCACAGGTAGCGTCCAATCAACGGGGGACTGAACCAAAACGAAGCAGAGCTGAGATCATCCCAGCCGGGCCAGTGCGCCAAACGCTGCAAACGCAAATGCAGACACATGATACGTCAAACGAGTTTGACCATCTTCTGAGATGGCAAAATACAGCTGAAGACGACGAAGTGATCGATTTTGCAGTTGCCAACATTCAACAGGACGATGAATCTATCGGCACAGATGAAGAAGATGAAGAAATAGACGATCCGCAAGAACCTGACGAGGTAGAGGTACCATCAGGTCGAAACAAGCTCCCTCCTGAGCAAATCGTCAATATCATTAACGAGTGCATCGATGCCTACAGCAAATCCTGGAAACCAAATGCAGGCGTTCCCCGCGGCGAAGAAGTCGACTACGATGTCCACGCCATGTGGGATGAAGCAGAAGCCTCGGGACAGCGAAAAAATCTTGTGCAAAAGTACGAAGAAGATCATGCATACTTTTCGAATAGACTCAACAAACTGTGCGATGAGATTGTTAATGCTGCTGGAAGCAACCCCGTAAGTGGATGTTCTTGTTACATGACTGAAGGTAGACTGACATTAAGCTACCATCTAGAATGAAGTACGCACGCAATGTCGCAATCTTGAGACTACGATCCAAGCAATGGAGCTGGCCGGTTGGCTAAGGGAGATATACGAACTGGAGCCGGTCGATAGCGATGACGAGCTTGCAGCCTCAGCCGACGATATTAGCATAGCATCGTTACCAAGGCCCCAGGCTATTGCAGCCACCGAGATTATCAATCTGGATACGTCGCCCGAACCTTCGGAAATAGGAGAGGCGGTATCAACCGTGGAGAAGCCTCTTCAAGATGTGGCTGACAGTGCTGGGAATTTATTGAGCCACCAGAGGCGGACATTAACACCGGACTTCATCCTTCGTGATATTGCTGGGAATTCCTCGAGCCGCCACAGGCAGTCGCCATCACCTGAATTGGCCATTACTCAGAGCATAGAGCCAATAGTCAACAAGTACCATCGCCCTCTTCATCCCAATGACCCTCGGCACACACCTATTCTCCGAAGATATGGAGATGACCCCGAAAACGCTTCGATCAATTCGGTACGCCGCTGGAAATGGAAAGACTTAACTGAGCACCTTGATCGCAAGCGTATCGTTTCCAAAACCATTTTTGAAATGAATGGCAGCGGTCGCGAGTCGGTTCGCATCCGTGTCCAGCTCATTGACAAGACCTGTTTACTAAGAGAAATCGCGGCGTGCATTGACATGTTATGGAGAGGAGAATCGAAACTGCAGGGCGTACTCCCTCGAGACATGGCCAAGATTACCCGCTTTACCAACATATTTCTGTCGTGGTGGTTCTGTAGGAACTATTTTGATGGACCAAACGCATCTACGGCAGAACTCGAAGAGCTCAAGTCCTGTTTATCAGACGGATCTGCTGGAGCATCTACCTTCTACGACTACCTTTGTAGAATTATGGAAACGACCTTTAGCGAACAAGCTCTCCAGCACCCTGACCAACCGTCACAGGCAGAGATCATTGAGATATCGGACGACGACTGAGGACATGCAGTTGACTGACTAGCATGCTGTCTAGTGGTCTAGTGTCTTTTGATGTCCGGTGTGGTATGTCATCGGAGGGCATCTAGGCCTCGGCAGGCATATACGATGCCGATGCGGTGAATATCGCACCACACGCGGCGCATCTCGGCAGTGTTACTAGCTGCTAGCCGACTTCGCACTTCCCACACGCTTAGCTCAGCAGAGTTCATGGCCATCTGCAAGCTGATAGGTAGTATTTACATACTAGCATGTATGTAGAACGCGACCAAAGTTTGCTGCTCACGTAAGAATGGGGTCCATACTTCTGCAGAGTTGAGATAGAGTCGGGGTCCGAGACGTGGGGACGCTAATCACGTGGTCTGCACGTTTTCATATAGATGTTCACCGAGGTACAGGGTCCCACGTTTACTCAGATGAGCTCGTCTGGAACTTTTACGTGGAGCCGCTGGCGAAAGAATCTGACAAGATACGGGCGGGGGTTTCGGTAACGGAAGCCATGGGCCAGGCCCGGGACCCCTCATGCGTACATTCTCACAGAATAACAAGGCCGGTAATATAAACTGTACCCTCATAGTGACGCTTATTAACCCCGGGTCCGGAATCCTAACACGACGGACCAATCACGGTTGGTTCAATTGATGTGGATGACCGGCATTCCCTGGCTCCGCGCTATTACCGCATGTAACTCAACTTTCGGGATTGACACATTTTCAGAACAAGTCCTCCCGCTCTTTCCCACTCTTCTCTCCAACCCTGACTTCAGCACCAAAATACATATATACAAACCCTCATCGCATACTCTCGCAGATTAACGCCTCGCGCAACCAACCACCATGGAGGCTCTTTTGCGCCAGTCAAAGTCCATGTGTCCGTTCCTTCACAAGACGTCACCCGCCACGCTGCGCTCCCTCTCCACCACCACGGCCGCCGCTGCTCGCCATGAAGTGTCGCCTGGCGCCGGCAGCATGTCAAATCTCCAGGTGCTCGCTCGCCGTTGCCCCATCATGGGCAAAGCGCTTGCTGTGCAGACTGCCCGCAATGGCAACAGTGCACTAGCCGGCGCTTTCGGCGGTGTGCGTGCTTACCACTCGCGCGTGAACCGGGCAAGACTTCATACGACGGCGTCCAAGGAGGCTCAGGCTATCGATCTTGAGAACCTGAGAGGCCAGAAGGGTATGAATATTTGCAAGAGCGAATACATGACATCAACAAGCTAACGCAGCACAGGCCTGGCTCCGTTCCCCCACGCACCCCTCGAACCCGCTGTTAGCAAGCCTTCTAACTTTGCTGCCCCTGCTGCTTCCAAGGGCTCCAATTTCGACTACGAAGGCTTCTACCAGAATGAGCTTGAGAAGAAGCACAAGGACAAGTCGTACCGATACTTCAACAACATTAACCGTCTGGCCAAGGAGTTTCCTCGTGCGCACAAGGAATCGGCCGAGGACAAGGTGACGGTGTGGTGCTCCAACGACTACCTGGGCATGGGCCGCAACCCACATGTGCTCAAGACTATGCATGAAACGCTCGACACATATGGAGCGGGTGCTGGAGGCACTAGGAACATTTCGGGCCATAACAAGCACGCCGTAGCGCTGGAGAACACAATTGCAAAGCTGCACTCCAAGGAGGCTGCGCTTGTCTTTTCTTCATGCTATGTAGCCAACGATGCGACATTGGCAACTTTGGGTAGTAAATTGCCCAATTGCGTCATTCTCTCGGACAGCCTGAACCACGCTTCCATGATTCAGGGCATTCGCCACTCTGGCGCAAAGAAGATGGTGTTTAAGCACAACGATGTCGCAGATCTTGAAGCAAAACTGCAGTCAATTCCTGCAGAGTACCCCAAGATCATTGCATTTGAAAGTGTATACAGCATGTGCGGATCCATTGGTCCTATTGAGGAAATCTGCGATCTTGCAGAAAAGTACGGCGCCATCACCTTTTTGGATGAAGTCCATGCTGTAGGCATGTACGGACCACACGGCGCTGGCGTTGCTGAGCATCTGGATTACGAGGCGCACAAGGCAGGCCGACCCCAAGGCACTATTCAAGATCGCGTGGACATTATCACTGGCACGCTCGGAAAGGCATATGGCACCGTTGGCGGCTATATCGCAGGTTCTTCTAAGCTGGTTGACACGATTAGGTCGCTCGCTCCCGGCTTCATCTTCACTACCTCGCTGCCACCCGCGACCATGGCCGGTGCTCAGACTGCTATTGAGTACCAGGCCAACTACCAGGGCGACAGGCGCCTGCAGCAACTGCACACTCGGGCAGTTAAGGATGCATTGAATGCGAAGGACATTCCCGTCATCCCGAACCCTAGCCACATTGTGCCCGTACTTGTTGGTAACGCCGAAATTGCCAGAAAGGCATCGGACATGCTTCTCGAGGATTGGGGCATCTACGTGCAGGCGATCAACTACCCTACTGTTCCAGTCGGCCAGGAGCGCCTTCGTATCACGCCCACGCCCGGCCATGTCCGCGAGTACCGGGAGCACCTGGTCGAGGCTGTTGACGCCGTATGGACAGAGCTTGGAATCAAGCGCACCAGCGAGTGGGCTGCCGAGGGCGGCTTCATTGGCGTCGGCGAAGCCGGCAAGGCTGAGGAAGCTCCTCTCTGGACAGACGAGCAGCTTGGCCTCGTTGATGTCATCCGCGAGATGAAGGCCGGCCAGGGCGCGACTGGTGTGCTCGAAGCTGTGCTCGAGCATGAGCGCAAGGCTACGGCCCAGGCTGTTGCAGCTGCGGCATAGACGCGCAGATGTCTTAGTGTATATGGTGACGATGGTCTGGTCGCTCTTTTGTATAGTTTGAGACCTGGATAGCTTACGGTGATGGCTTAAAAGCGCAGCGCAATACAACTTTTAATTGTCTGCTCATATATTGCTCCATGATGTGCGCGTGTTTAGTTATGTGTGAACGTGTGAATGTGTGCATGTGGCGGTGTGCATGGTAGTAGTGATGATGACTTGCGGTGATACAATAAGCAGCGGCGCAGACAAAAAGAGTCGAGGTGAATGAATGCACGGTCGGACGCTAGCGGAGCTCGCGATGTCTTGAGCCTGTGCAAGTTCCAGACACGCTTTCATCATCAACCCGCGCCCGCCGCAACGCGACTCTCGCCCTCCTGCTCTGGTTCTGCCCACCAGCCTGGATCCGCGCTTCTTCTACAGTCTTTGTATTGTCCATTGACTGCACGGCACGCGCGCGCGCAAACGTCAACCACGCATTGTCGAGCTAGCACTCTCACGAGCAACCACCGCATGCTCGCCTCATATTTTATCAACCCCCAGTTCGCGCCGGTCTCTCGATCCTGAGAGGGTACCACCATGGCTCCCCCGCCAAAGCGAAAGCGACCTGACCGCACTTACTCACAGGATGACGACCGCACCGGCCGCCCGTCGCCGCATCGCCCGCAGAACATGGGACTCGCGCATAACCAGCAGCAAACCAACAGTCCACGCGGCGGCGGCGGAGCTGGTAGGCGGCCTAGCAGAAACAATGGCCGCGGCGGCTCTAGCGTGCCCCAGAGTCCCAACGTCTCACATGCATCGCCGCCTGCCATGTCGCCCACCAGCAATACTTCCTTCACATCAGCCAGGCCGCCTCAGCCGACACCGTCCACTCCTGTGCGCCCTGCCGCCCCTGCGCAGCCCTCGAGACCCACGACGCCGCGCCAGGTACCTGAGAGTAATGAGTACCTGACACCAGACCGGGTCGCTCATTGGAATGGCGAGGCACGCGACGCTGTGGTGCAGGCTGCTTTGGCTGCCCAGCGCGAGGGCAACGTACTCACCCTGTCAGTCATATTCCACGAAATCATCGAGGCATCCATAAACCATGTCCTGGATGCTGGCGAGTTGGGCTCCATGGTGCGGGACATTGTATCGGTACCGAGCGACGACGACGACATTGACTCAACATCGACTTTCCTCGATACGTTGAGTTCGCTCACGAACGATGAGAGCAAGCAGGCGTCTGTACGGCAGATGCTTGTTGCCACCAACATCGACATTTCACGCATGCGCTCCGAGCTCGAGAACGACCTCTTGAAGTCGCTGGGTCTGGTTCGCGATAGTTTTGGCAAGATGGCTGTTCGCAAAGCCACCCACGCACTGTACCGGCAATCCAACTACAACCTCCTGCGCGAAGAGACCGAGGGCTACTCGAAGTTAATGACCGAATACTTCACCACCGTGAACAGCGAACCACCAAACCAGGAAGTCGTGAGCGAGACCTACCAACGGGTAAACGCTCTCATTGGTGCCTTCGACTTGGATATCGGACGAGTCCTCGATGTGACACTCGATGTGTTTGCCAATCTTCTAGTCAAGCACGGCAGATTCTTTGTCAAGTTGTTACGGACAAGCGCATGGTGGCCCGAGCTACGCGGTTTCGACAATATCGAATGGGAGGAACCCGAAGTTCCCACGCTTCCTCGCTGGGCTGAGCCGGGGTCCAAGCTCTGGTATTACTCAGACGAAGAGAAGGAAGAGCAGCTACGACTACGCGAATCCCGAGACCGAAAGTTCTGGCAACGTGTGGGCGAGTTGGGCGATCGGGCAGGCGTTCAGGCATTCTTTGAACTTGGTGCACGCCGTGTTACTTCGAACAACCGACAGCCGGACCCGACACTACTAGCAGAAGGTGCATCGCTCTCCAAGCAGCAGGCGGCTCGAAAATGGGCCGACGAATGGATGGCGCAAACCAAGACTCTTCCTCCCTCTGGAAACGACATTGCAGCGCAACTTCTTGGCTTCAAGCTTCGTTTCTATGCTTCTGACGTCCGCGATGCGTCAGATGTTCTCCCCGAGAACCTCATGTACCTGATCGCGCTCTTGATCAAGATTGGATTCATTTCCATTCTTGACCTATACCCACATCTATACCCATTGGAAGAGGATATGGCTGCGCACAAGGAGAAGCTTCTGAAGGCTAAGAAGGAAAGGGAGGACAAGGAACGTGGTGCGGTTTCTAATGCGTTGACTATGGCTGGCGCATTACCTGATGATACACCTGGACAACCTACCGTTTCCCGTCTGAGGGATACCGAAAGCAAATCAAAACCGGATACTGGAAGAAATACGCCTGTAAACCCCGATGAGCCTGTGGAAAAGAAGAAAGACCTACCCGAGCCAACAGATCAGAAGTACACTCTTCTGAAAAGTCTGCTGTGTATTGGCGCACTGCCGGAAGCATTATTCATCCTTGGACGCCATGCCTGGTTCCTGGAAGTATACCCTGAGCTCCAAGGCCTCATCTTCCGTTTGGCTCACCACTCCGTGGGCAAGATGTACGAAGCATCAAAGCCTACGCCGTTTGAAGAGCCCACTATTTCTATCAAAGGATCGAGTGTACGTGGCCCTCAGAGGCCCAGCGACTTCATTCCGCGACGGACTCTTCGATGGGCCAAGCCTGACCAGAAGGATTCTGATGGAGGTGTTGATTACAAGTTCTATTGGGAAGACTGGGTTGACAATGTCCCTGTGTGCCAGGAAGTAGACGACGTGATCAAGCTTTGTACCAGTCTTCTAGGCTTGGTCGGAGCCGAGTGCGGCAGGGATACTGTGCTCCTAACAAAGATCATACGCATTGGCAAGCGAAATCTAGCCGATGACCCCTCAGAAGAGAACCGGAAACGATGGATCAACTTTTCAGCCACCTTTATCGCGCCTGCGGTATCCTTCACCGGCAGGAACCCCGGAATAATCAATGAGGTGTGGGACCTCTTCAAACATTTCGACACCGCCACTCGATACACCATTTACCAACAATGGTTCAATGGGATGCTCAAGCCAGCCAGCAAGAGGGCTTTCGAACAAGTCCGCGATGAGACCAAAAAGACAATGAGCCGTATTTCTGCTACCAACACGAAGGAGTATGGACGTAAAATTGCCAAAATTTCGTACGCCAGCCCTGGATGGGTCTTCAAGACAACGGTCAAGCAATTAGTCAACTACCCCAATATGATTACCGCTTTGGTAGAGTGCAGCCGATATCTCACCTTGCTCGGATACGATGTCTTAACCTGGACCTTGGTTACATACCTTCTCAGCCCCGATAAAGGCTCGCATCAGGACGACGGCATGCTATCTGCCCCTTGGCTCAAGAACATTGCTACCTTTGTCGGCAAAGCTTACGCAAAGTACCATTTGATGGATCCCCTCCCAATACTGCAACTCACCATGCGTCAACTCTTAATTGCAGAAGGTGAGCTCTACATGTTGGATGTGCTTGAGCAGATGGTCAAGTCTATGGGTGGAATCAGCCTCAGCGGATCCGTCTCTGAGGCGATGACCCTAGCCCTCTGTGCTGGACCAGCGCTTCGATCCTTTATTTTGCAGCATCGCTTAGCGGATTATCGACACTTGTCCGGTTCTTCTGCGCGACGTCTGATTAGGTGCCTGAAAGAGACAGGTTTGGGGCCGCAGATTCTTATTGCACTTGCGCAGCACGTGGAGGCTTACGTTCACCGTGTCGATCAGCAAGAGGTTCCCGACAAGCCGGTTCTCTTTAACGTTGACAAGCTCCGTTCCACTCTCCTTCAGTATCTGGAGCTCCTCCGAGCATATATTACCGTGGATGACTTCGATACCATCTTCCCGTCTCTTATCGAGATGATGTCTGATTTCAACATCGAGCCAGATGTCGCCTTCACCATTGCTCGTGCAAGTATTGCGGCCAAGGCTAATGAGTTCCGAACTGATCAACGCGCGAAACTCATTGCCAACACACAGTCAAATGGTGATACTTCTATGTCAGGCATCGAAGAGGAGTCACCTACAAACGGCGCCAAAGCCGAAGTAGCAGCTACCGAGACAGCAAAGACGAGCGAAGATGTCGAAATGGCAGATACTGATCCATCTGCCGTCTCAGAGAAGCCTTCATTACCTGAAGTTCCAAACGTAGAAATTGAGCGCTTAGCAACCCAGCTCCAAGAAAGATTACCCGGTAAGTTTGGAAATCACCCCTGTCTGTCATACTACGTCACCTTTTGGCAACTCTCCCTGCCAGATGTCGACATTGGAGGAATCGATCAACAGTACCAAGAAACGATTGAGTACTTCGAGCGGCAGTTGCCTGCCCCAGTCCCTGATCGTCGTAATTATCGATCCAACGTCCCGAAGGCGGAGACTGATGCCGCACGACGGGCAAAGCATGAAATTCCTAAACTCAAGGAAGAAAGAAAAAACGTTACACAAGCCAACGCCGCGACACAAGATAGCCTCAGGGCTGAGCTCAAAGGATGGTTTGCCGGTGTAGCAATGATTGGCCCACAGTGTGATGCGTTGCACAATGCTTTGCTTCAAGACTGCTTCATTCCACGCAGCCGCATATCATTGGAAGATGCACAATATGCCTCGTCAATGCTCATGTTTATGCATAGTTCAGGCGTTCCTGGATTCCGCATGAGTAGACTGTTGGACGTCCTCTTCTCTATTAACAGACTTACATGTATCATCAGCATGTATACCGAAGCAGAGTCGTTATCCTTTGGTCGATTCCTTAGTGACATACTTCGTGAGCTACAAGTTTGGCACGAGAACAAGGACGATGCGTACGCCAGGAACGCACAAGGACCAGAAAAGAACCTCCCTGGTTTTGGAAGGAGTTATGATGCCAATGGGAACGCCACGAGTTTCTTTACGTACGATCAGTTTTGCATGTTGTTGTTCAAATGGCACAGGTCGCTTACTACTGCGCTGAAGACTTGTCTTGAGACTGGTCGCTACATGCAGATGCGCAATGCTAT